AGGTAGATGAGTTATTTTAAATGATTTCATAAAATATTTCTAACTTATCATTTATACTTTTCAATACTACATTTTCTCTATCTATTCAGGGTGTTTATTTAATTTCATGAATACAACACTTTCCTAATTTTTCTTTTTCTATCATAACATGGCTCTGGAATTCGGTGAGTTCTAATCAACTAATTAAATTAAAACATTTTTTCACTTTTACTTTTTAGACTCGTTTTAGATAGCCATATATACCGTAAGTTTATTCCAAATATTAAATTAAAATACAATTTCATCTTAATTCATCGATTTGTTTCGAAAATCGAAAAGAAGTGTGAATTAATTCAATTTATTAAATAAAAATACAATCTTTAACTTTTGTTTGGAGATTCGATCCGTATTTATTAATATATCCGGTGAGTTTATTCCAATTACTAAATGAAAATGAAATTCTATTTTTATTTTTAGATTCGTGGGATATCGATAGATCTAGTGAGTTTGAATCAATTTATCAAATTAAAATGAAATTTTGTTTTTGATTTTAGATTCGTTTTATAACTCAATATGTCTGGTGAGTTCATTGGAATTACTAAATAAGAATGAAAGTTCATTTTTACTTTCAGATTCGCTGTCTGGCAATAGATTCAGGGAGTTTGAATCGATGAATTAAATAAAAATACAATTTTATTTTCACTTTTTGGATTCGTGTGATATTGATAGATCCGGTAAGTTTCAATCAATTTATTAAATTCAAATCATATTTCATTTTATTTCTAGATTCGTTTTATATTTCAATGCATCATGTGAGTTTATTTCAATTACTAAATGAAAATGAAGTTTCGCTTTTACGTTTAGATTCGTTTTATATCTTAATATATCTGATGAGTTTACTCCAATTACTAAATGAGCATGAAATTTTATTTTTATTTGTAGATTTATTTAATATCGATTGATTTGGTAGGTTTGAATCAATTTTCTAAATTAAAGTTTCATTTGTATTTTTAGACTCGTGTGTTATCGATAGATTCGGTGAGTCTGAATCAATGCATTAAATAAAAATACAATTCTATTTTCATTTTTAGATTCGTTTTATATTCATAGATCTGGTGAGTTGGACAAAAATTCTTTAAATTAAAAAACAGTTTCATTTTTATTTGTAGATTCGTTTTATATATTAGTATATATGGAAAGTTTGTTCAAATTATTGTACGAAAATGAAATTTTATTTTCATCCTTAGAATTGTTTTCTCGCAATAGGTCGGGTGAGTTTGAATCAATTTAGTAAATTAAAATATAATTTTCTTTTTATTTTTAGATGATTGTCGTAGGGTAATGTTTGATGAGCTATGAAATTCGTTCATTAACTATTTTGGTTGAATTATGTTTTACATGCGAATGGGTGCCCATTAGTTTTGATGTGGTTGAATGTGAAGAAAACGGGTGAGTTTAGATGATTTTCGATGAAAAATTGCTTCTTTTGTTCATTTTTTAGGTGGAGAAGGCCGTTATATTTAGCTTCTTGATGGTTTGGTAATGGTGCGACGAAGTGCATCTGGATAATTAAAGTTTTTCTCTAAATTCCGTGTGTTGCTGACCTTTAATGACTGTTCTAGTTATTTCTTGGTGTGAATAGATTCACAGCAGAACCTCATTGAATGTCTGTGGCCGCTGTGAATGCTTGTTGCTGCTGGCAGAGAAGTGATGGATTCCTGTCTAGGCTAGTTTGGTAGAGCTTTAACCGCATTCGGAAACCTTTTCTTTGGGTTTCCAAAGAGGTATTTGAGGTTTAGCTATAATGGGTACTATGGGTTTCCAAGGTCTCGGAAACCCTTCTTCGGAAACCCTTAAAGGGTTTCCTATAGTAACAAACTCGGAAACCCTCTAAGGGTTTTCGATAATACCTATTTTTTTTAGAGTGTAGTTACCATCCCTTCTACCCCTTATGTATACTATTGAACGGGTAGATAATATATGATATACATACGGTTGCCATTGGTTACCACCCCTTCTCCCCCCTATGTATAATATTGAAGGGGTAGATAATATAGGCTATATATATGGTTGCTATTAGTTACCACCCCTTCTCCCCCCTACGTATAATATTGAAGGGGTAGATAATATATGATATATATATGGTTGCTATTAGTTACCACCCCTTCTCCCCCCTACGTATAATATTGAAGGGGTAGATAATATATGATATATATATATGGTTGCTATTAGTTACCACCCCTTCTCCGCCCTACGTATAATATTGAAGGGGTAGATAATATATGATATATATCTATGGTTGCCATTGGTTACCACCCCTTCTCCCCCCTATGTATAATATTGAAGGGGTAGATAATATAGGCTATATATATGGTTGCTATTAGTTACCACCCCTTCTCTCACCCTATGTATAATATTGAAGGGGTAGATAATATATGATATATATCTATGGTTGCTATTGGTTACCACCCCTTCTCCCCCCTATGTATAGTGTTGAAGGGGTAGATAATATATGATATATATATGGTTGCTACTAGTTACCACCCCTTCTCTCACCCTATGTATAATATTGAAGGGGTAGATAATATATGATATATATCTATGGTTGCTACTAGTTACCACCCCTTCTCTCACCCTATGTATAATATTGAAGGGGTAGATAATATATGATATATATCTATGGTTGCCATTGGTTACCACCCCTTCTCCCCCCTATGTATAATATTGAAGGGGTAGATAATATATGATATATGTATATGGTTGCTATTGGTTACCACCCCTTCTCCCTCCTATGTATAATATTGAACGGCTAGATAATTTAGGATATATATATGG